AGTCATGCTTCCACCTCAGGGCTTTTGAACTTGGTATTCCCTCCAAATGGAATATTCTGCAGGGCTCACTTCCTCACATCTTTCAAATCCTTTGCCCAAAGGCCACCTACTCAGTCTCAGTGAAACCGTCACTGGACTCTTTATTTAAAATTATAAACCGCGCCCCCCCCCACACACACACACACGCACACAATTTCCTGTCCCTTGCACCTTCTTTATTTTTTTTCATAGCATTTACCACTATCTACATACTATATACCTCATTTGTTTCATGACAAGAGGCATTATTGAGGGATTGGAACATAGAGGGCTCTCAGTAAAAATGTGTTTAGTGAAAAAAATGGGAAGCCATTCAAGCAAGTAGAGAGTGACACATATTTTCTGTTTTTAAAAGGGAGCTATAGCTACTGTGGAAAGACTGGACTAGTGCAGCAGTCCCCAATCTTTTTGGCACCAGGGACCAGTGCTCCTATGAGAATCTAATGCCCAATGATCTGAGATGGAGCTGAGGAGGTGATGCTAGTGCTGGTGAGCGGATGCAAATATAGATGAAGCTTCACTCGCCACTCACCTCCGGCTGTGCGAGCCAGTTCCTAAAAGGCCACAGACCAGTACCAGTCTGCAGCCTGAGAGTTGGGGACCTCTGGACTAGAGGAAGACCAGCGTAGGAGCAGGGACACCAGTTGGAAAGGCTGCTGCAGTGGTCCAGGTGAGAAATGATGCTGGTCTGAGCTTAGAGTCATGGCAGTGTGTGTATATAAAGAGACTTTGTAGACTCAAGATATATTTTGGAAATAGCTGCAACAAGATTCTTTCATGTTGTTGAGGGTGAGGAAAAGAGAACAGTGAATGATGCCTTGAGTTACTGTGTCAAATGGGGTCCAGTTTATCGAGGTGAGGGGAGATGGATAGAGAATTGTTAGTTTCATTTTGGACCCATTAAGTCTCTACTGTTTTGTGCCATCCAAGTGCAAATAGTAATGAAGTTAGATATGCAATGCTGGAGCTCAGAGGAGTGGTCTCGCTAAGAAATACAAATATGTGTTGAAAATCATGTAAAAAGTGGATATTTTAAAGAAAGACAATGCCCTGGTGGTGGTGGAGGTAAGAAATGTCTACAAGGAAGAAACAAAATGATAGGGTGGGGTGGGGTGTGGTGGGGTGGAGTAGTTAAGTCCTGGAAGCATTGGTAGGAAAAAATGGGGAGAGGGAGGGAGTAGAAGAAAGAGGGAAATGAAGCTATGAATATGTTATAAGAAGGAAGGACAGAAAACGGGGGACAAATGAGATCAATATGTCCGTCATGTCCTATGCATGGGGGACATGAGCAAAGCCTGCCAGATAAAAGGAATGAAGGAAGGACAGAGTGGGATAACTGGAATACCAGAGGAAGTACAAGACACGAAGAGGAAAAGGTGAGAAGGAAGGATAAACTGTAATCACAACTAGAGATCAACCCAGCAGCTGCGGCTGAGAAGGTGGCTATAAGATCAGGGCAGTTCAGAGGTCACAGGGTGGCCCCAGTATAGGATTAGAACGTGGAGGAATGAGACGGGTGGTGAAGATGGAAGGTAATCCTAAAAACTTGGCCTTGAGGAAAATAAGATTACACTGTTAGACTTTAATATCAGCTCAAAATGGGCAAAGTTCTACTTAAAGCAGGGATTTTAACCTAGGATGCATAAAACAGCTTCAAGGATATCCATGAACCCCCTGAAATTGCTCGTGTGGTTTTATAAATATGGCGTTTTTCTGCAGAAATAGTCGTCGAGAGTTTCTATCAGATTCTATAATCCCGACGTTAAAAGAAAGAAGAACAATCTGATAAACAGAGCAAGACAGAAGGTAACACTGTATCTTAAAAAGGAGTTTATCAGTCAGAAGGAGAGGGTGAAAAATAAAGCACCCAAAAGAGACCAAAAAAAAAAAAAAAGGAAGAAGTGGGCAGCGCCCATCTAAGGAAGAGGGTACCCAACTCAACGTAATGAGTGGACAAAGCTGCCCTTTCTAATGAGTGGAAATGGTCAGATCAGAACCCAAGATGCTATTATTCCTTTAAATCCTATAACTCAGGACCCTCATTCTGACTCCTTACCCACCAAGCAACCTTCTGATAATTCTGAGAAGCCGTGATTGGACCTATGGGAGGCTCTGGTCAACCTGCAGGTCGATTTTTGTCATTGTAAATTACAAAAAAAAAAAAAAATGTTTTCTACATCCTGTGCATCTTGTGAATTCTTTTTGTCGGAGAAAGCTTTCAGTTCTAGGACTTGAACATGATAAAGTTTCTGAACCTATCATAAAGCTGAGGGAGGGCTTGATACAGGACCTGGGGGAATTTCATCAAAATATCATCTTGCGAGGATCTTTAAAAAGAAAGTGAGCCAACTGTCTTCTCTTGGCAGCCCCTCCAACTTCAGGGGGCACATATTTGAAAAATGTTCTGCCTTTCCTCCTGGAAGCATCTACAGAAAGAACTTTTTTAGTGCCAACAAATAGGAGCTGTCTCCTTTATGAGCAAATAATGAAGGAGTGTCTTTACTCCTTCAGTTTAACTGAATAAACAAGAGAAACTAAAACCCTCTCACTGTCCACGTCACTCCCTATTCCTTTAAACAGGAGGAGCTTTTGGTTATGTCCCAGGAGCATGTGTGTCTGCAGGGAAGAATAAATGATCTCCTAGAGAAGTCAACGGAAAGAATTGGGAATAAGAATACTAATGGCCACGACTTAATGAGCACTTATTGGCCAGCACTGTGCAAAGTACCTTATCCTAATCCTCCACAAACCTCAAAAACTAGATACTCTTGTTATACTGTGTTTCTGTTTTATAGCCCTTAATCACACAGCAACAGAGGCAAGATTTTATCCTGAGAAATCTAATGCAGAGCCCATGGATTAACGAACTCACTATGCTGCTGCTAGAGACAGGCCTAGAGATCCAGGGAGCAGTTTTATACAGGAACATGATTGCTATAGATTGAAACGTGCCCCCCCCCCGCCCCCAAAAAAGATATGTTGAACTCCTAACCCCCAGTACTTCAGAAGGTGACCCTATTTCGAAACAGGGCAGTTGCAGATGTAATTAGTGAAGTTGAGGTCATACTGGAGTAGAAGGGACCCCTAATACAATATAACTGGTGTCCTCATAAGAAGATGGCTATATAAAGACAGGGAAGCACAGGGAGAACACCATATGATGACTGAAGATTGGATTTATGCATCTATAAGCCAAGGAAAGCCAAAGATTGCTAGCAAACCACTAGAAGCAAGGAAGAGTCAAGAAAGGATTCCTCTACAGGTTTCAGGGGGAGCAGGGCCCTGCAGACACCTTGATTTTGGGCTTCTTCCCTTTAGAACTGTAGGATGATAACTTTCTGTTGTTTTAAGCCATCCAGTTTGTAGTACTTTGTAACAGAAGCCCTAAGAAACTGATACAGTGCCCTTCTTTCTTTTGAACCCATGGATGCCAGCCAGATGATAAAAGAGAATGTGAAGTCATTTAGCAGGATAAAAGGAGGCTGTCCCCTTCCTCCCCTCTGGACCCAAGAAGCCATGGCCTCCCAGAGCAGAGGCCCTATCCCAG